AACATCTGCTCTGGTGGCCTTTGAAAAAAATTGGACAGGCTTTATGGATGGGGCTCAGGTATCGAAACCTATTACTGTACCTTGAATTTTGTACTTAAGTTTGTCCAAAAAGGGTCGGAAACCAATGGTTAAAAAAACATGTAAAATGTTTGTTTTTTCTTACTTGTGTTGAGTATAGAAATAGATAGCAGTAAATTGTGTACTAAAGGAAATTTAGGTGCTACGTATTCACATATGAAGAAATCTTCTCACTTTATTTTCAATGGCAGGAAGCTACTTTGGATTAAATGATGTAGATAGTGGCATGTTCCTCTGTCTTGCTGTTGACCTCTTTCTACTTCTAATGACTTTCCTTTGATCATTTGCCTTGTTCTTAAGATTGCCTTTGACTGGCTCTATCCTACATATTGAATATCTTTGAGATTTCTGTTTAGAGTTTATCTACTTTACTGCCCCCTGTTATGTCTTTACCTTCCTAGTTTATGACATTGGTGGCATTTGTCCCACCAATTGTCAGTACATTTTTGGCTGTTCACCTTCCTGGTCTTAGGCTGTATAGGCTCTGTTGGTCCCAGTCTTTGTACTGTACCTTTAACCTACTGCTGCCCTTGAGGAAATTCTCAACTATCTTAAATCTTAGATGGATACAAACCTACATAACCCTTCAGTTAGAAGTTTAGGTTAAAAATACCTTTTTATAAGGTATTTTAAGACCTTTTTGGTACTTGGGACAGGAGTAACAAAGTGAGCTTACAGTAGTTGCTTCTAAAACATTAAAATTGGGTCGTGATCTGTAATACATAGATAAATGTCTGTACATAGACTTGTTTAACCAAAGATCAAACATCAGTATTTCTAATGTATAAAGATGTATTTGGAACAAAGAAAAGGACATTTTAGAGCCAATTTTAGTTGCTTTTGTTTACTAGTATTGCATATGGTACCAGTGAGAAGGCAAGTATTTTTCTACTTTGAAAAGTAACTGTTCCTTTGTAGAAACTGTTGTTCTCAAATAACCAGTGTTTTCATTTTGCCCAGTGCAAAATGTTGTAATTGATTGGTCCTATCTTATTTGACTGGATTTGATGCAGTTGATCACTCTCCCTGTTTAGACCTCTTCTTATACTTCCGGAACACCGCAATCTCCTTGTTTCTCTTCTCTCTCACTGTGTTGGCTTTGTACTTTTCTTTAACTTATGTATATTTCTCTAGTCTGCAAATACAAGCCTACAATTGAAATGCCTCCAATCAGTTCTTATATCTTATACCTTATGACTTATTCCTCTTTTTTCTATACTACTCCCTAAGTGATTCCATCTGAGATCTTGGTTTTTACATTAGTATTGCTGTTGGAAATTCTTTTTTTTGAACTGGAGTCTCCTATATCCAATTTCCTTCTCAACTTTTTTTTATTTGGATAACTCATAGATATTTCCACCTTAACATCTCCAAAGCCAAAGTCCTGTTCTTTCTTCCCAAGCCTGTTTTTTCCATTGTCTTTTCTAGCCAGTAAATTAAAATTTCATCTTTTCAATTACTCTGGCCAAAAACTTTGGAGTCAGTCTCAATTCCTCTTTTTCTCATAGAAATGTCTATCTTTTTTCAAAGCTGTATTTCTTGCACCAAAACCAGCGTCTGGTGCATAGTATGCACCAATAAATAGGCTTCAAAAGCATGAAATGTGTAAGCCAATAACAGAGGGTGGATTACAATCTGATGTCCAACGATAGAAACTTTAGTTAACTTAGGTGCTCCCAGGAGGGCAGAATCTCCTTGTTTTCTCACCCTTATCAGCTCCGGAGAGAGATTGTTTTTGTCATGTGTTGAAACAATTTCTATAACATAATGTAATTTAATAGAGCTCTTATGCTGCATTTTTGGAACATCAAGTAGAGCATGGAGAGTACTTATTTATGATGAACATCTCACTCTCATTTCTATCTTTTTTTTTTTTTTTTTTTTTTGAGACAGAGTCTCGCTTTGTTGCCCAGGCTAGAGTGAGTGCCGTGGCGTCAGCCTAGCTCACAGCAACCTCACACTCCTGGGCTCGAGTGATCCTCTTGCCTCAGCCTCCCGGGTAGCTGGGACTACAGGCATGCGCCACCATGCCCGGCTAATTTTATATATATATCAGTTGGCCAATTAATTTCTTTCTATTTATAGTAGAGACGGGGTCTCGCTCTTGCTCAGGCTGGTTTTGAACTCCTGACCTTGAGCAATCCGCCCGCCTCGGCCTCCCAAGAGCTAGGATTACAGGCGTGAGCCACAGCGCCCGGCCTCATTTCTATCTTTTTGAGTTTGTTAATGTCCCCAGTTGACACAAGGTGTAGGTACTTAATGACTATTTTTTTTAATGAACAAATGATTCCTAATGTACATCTCAATCTCAGAATTTTAAAAGTGGGATATATCTTATTCTCCTGTAAAACTTGTTACTTTCCTTGCATTTTGTATCTCTGTTAATGGTTCAGAGTGGGAGTTCTCGAATAATTGCTTTTCTTCACTTCAACCCCAAGTTCATCTAGCCATCAGCTTTCCATCAGTTTTTCTTCTTTATATTTCAAATGTTGTTGAAGCCCTCCTTATTGCTCACCAAAGTTACTTCTATTGTAACTACTTATCTTGAATCCATTGTCTGTATTATTGCCCTTCCTTTGCATAAAATTATGATTTCCACTATTTCTAGTTGGATCTGAATCTTGTGATTTGGCACACAAGGCTTTGCCTCATCTGGCTCCTGTCTCTGTCCAGCAGATCTCTATTGACCTCTTCCCCTGTTTTTCCATCTCATCCTGACAAACTATGCATAAAATGTGCATTATTTGTAATTTGGTTAAAGGAACCATGTCTTTGAAATTGTTAATTCCTCTGCTTAGAACATCCTTGTCTACTTCATCAGGCCACCTTACTATTAATGCTTGAGTCAGTACTGACTGTCTTGAGTCAGTACTGTTATTCAGCTGTTTTTGTTCTCATTTAGTATTATCTCCATAATCTCATTATTTACCAAACATATCTCTTGTATTAATACACAGTATATTTTTATCATTGTATCGATTTATCTTCATTTGGGCAGGCAACATGTTCTGTTTACCTTTGTAGTTTCTGAACCTTTCTCAGTGTCAGTAGGAATTCAGCATAAATGCTGTTTTGGCACCTACTTCTGCTGGTATGCTAAATTAATATGAAATCATGTGATACTACAGGTCCATATATCTCAATTTACATGTTAAAAACCTGGAAGAAACTCTTTAGTTTTTACCTTGATTGTAGAATGTTTTAATCATAAGGAAACAATATGTTTCAGTGCATACCTGTGTATATTCACAGATACATGTTTATGTGATATAAATTAAATAGGTTGTAAGCCATGAAAATGGCAAATTATGATTAGAATTGGGCAGGGGCTTTATAAATCTAACTTAAATTCATTATTTCAATTTAATTTCCTATTCCACTTTAAGTTTTTGAATATTTCTTAGGAATAATTTGCATTATCCTTTACCTCCTTTCTCCTCAATTGTATGCTATCATTGTCTACATGTATGTGCTGTTCATTTAGGTGATATTTGCTGCTAGTTTTTATATTTCTTTATTTTTGCTACTTTCTTTGAATTGTCTGTAATTTGCATTTTTCTAGAAACCGGGTAATTGAGACTGATTTAGTTCCTCTGAACATAGAGCAGCAGCATTATTTATATGTTCTTTGAGATCTTTTAAAATTATATGGCATTGCTGAAAAAATGTTTGTGGATAGTGGTAATGACTGGCAAGGAGGTAGAGGGAAAACATTTTAAACTTGACTTTTTGACATGAACTGGTTACAGCTGAGTGAATGTGTACTGGAAAGGTAGATTTTTTTTTTTTTTTTTTTTAAGTGTGTTTTTCTTTTTCCTTTCTCTCTCCTCTGGCACATTCCTCACCCTCACTTTAAACAATCTTAACTTTTGACAGTCGAAGCATGCTGGTCAGATTTTAATGCTTAGATATCAAACATAACAATTACTATATATTTCAACCAGCAGGAACTGAGACCCCTGTTGGTGTCTTACTCCAAAACGGTATTTTAAATTCATATAAACCTTGCCTTAAGGGATGGAGAAAAGACAATTTAGGGAACAGCATGAGGTTAAACATACTGATCAGTAGTCCAGTAGTTCTTGCTAGACTTTAGGTAGACTCAGAAAAATAACACTATCAACAACAACAAAGAATGCTTTGCTTCTCTGGAGAAAATCTCTTTTGCTTCCATGTTATAGATTTTGGATGATGAAAGATATATTTCAGCCACAGATGAAAAAATGAAGTCGAAAGTTTAAGTGTTAAACATGCACTGAAAAATTTTGTGACTTTTAAAATTTTTATCATTTAAGCAGTATATTAAAGGATTTAGTGAGCTGTGTAATTTATTTCTGTTTAAAACATAGCATATGGTAATTTTGAATTTTTGCCAAAGCATGAGAATAATTCCCTGATAAATTAACTTCTAGAAATTAATTATGCAGTGTTCATTATATAATTTTTGGTTATTAACAACCCTATTAACCAGATTTAAGACCTTTATTGACCTTGAGGTTATTTGGATCTTTAAGTTTCTCTTGATAATTATTTTATTATTTTATTTTAGATAAATGTTATCCATCCAATAGATATTTATTGTTTTCAACTAGGATATGTTCAATTCATCTTATATGTGTGTGGAATGATATTGCTGGACAAGAACTTAACTTTTGCCTATGAGTGGATTTTTTTTATAGAGTGGTACCAATGGCTAATGTTTCTCTATCTTCCTTTCACCTCAAAAACCCTCAAATAAATGAGAAATAAAAAAACTCCACTGAAACTAGATTTCTTTTATAACTTATAATTAGCTAAAATATTTTACTTACAAATGATTTTCTAATATTTGATAATACTTAGAACAAAACCTTTATGTTTCAGTTTTGTTAATCTTTAGTGTTGGAAATCCGGTAAAAGTCTCACTGTCTAATTTGTTGTAGGTAGCTTGTATGCAGCTCATCAATGCCCTTGTTACATCTCCTGATGATTTGGACTTCAGGCTTCACATCAGAAATGAATTTATGCGTTGTGGATTGAAAGAGATATTGCCAGTAAGTGCCCTGCAGTCTCCTTATTAATATTTAAATTAGAATAGTACTTGAGTAGGGGGAAATTTAGATAAATTACCTTCAAGAATAATTTATTTGTGGGAAAAGGCTTAAGTATAAAAACCTATTTTTGAGATATAGATGATAAGATTTGAGTATTATTTAACACTTTAAATGTTTGAATGCTGTAAATCAAGTTGAATGGTTGGTTTATTGTTTATATGTTTTTCATTAATTCTTTTGCATAATTAAAAAAAAAGCACTTACCATAATTTCTGTTTAATATCTCTAGAATTTAAAAGGCATTAAGAATGATGGCCTGGATATCCAACTTAAAGTCTTTGATGAGCATAAGGAAGAAGATTTGATTGAGTTTTCCCATCGCCTTGAAGATGTTAGAGCTGAACTTAAATATCCTTTTGTTCAGGAGTCTAGTCCAATAATATGTAAAATTATTGCTAAATCTAAAACAACAACCACAGTTCCTCAAATATTTAACTCATTTCTATACAGACCGTATGAAATCAATATGTTATGCATCAGAAAAATGTTATTTTATTAATGTTTATTTTTATGAATACACATATGTAAGTGGATATTATAACTAACAAATGGATTTTGTTAGACTGCCTTCTTATGTATATGTGTGAATCTATTCTTTTTTCTTTTCTTTTTATATTTGACAGTTTTCCTGTCACTCAGTGATTTATAGCCTTGAGAGTAGGGTAGCCTCAGTCCATTGGATGCTCCTTCCCTATACTTGGTGCATGCTCCTATGGACCCCATGATAACTCTTTTAGCCCTTCCTAAGATCCACCAGTTTCCTAGCTCAACTGGGGCTTCTTTATGATAGATAATGCCTGGTACCAACACTGTTAGTTAGGATACTCTGAGAACCAAATATAATATTCACACCCAGTTGCCTACTACTTTACCCTGCAACATTTTTGCTTAGGAGAGGCAGATTGTTTGGGTTTGATCATAGAAGGGAAGCCAGGAAGTGTCAGGTCAAGTTGCCATTTCCAGAGTTTTTCCATTGCCCTTAATCTTAAATACCCATATTTTATGTTGAATATACAAGATACTATGTTGAATATACAAGATTATATTAGGGTTTCAGAGCCTTACAGAGTAGATTTTGTCATATTCATACAGTTGTATGGTGTAGCATATAAATTATATATTCCTTAATCAACTCACTGAAGCATATGATGTTTACAACATGGTGTGGAACACAGTTAAGGAAACTAGGGCAGAGGGATATTTTATTTCTATTCTTCAGCATCTTTTGCTGATTCGAAATGATTATTTTATAAGGTAAGAGAAAGTTATATTCTAATGTTTTCTTTCACTAATAAAAACCTATTAATTGTGAAATTCACATGATATTTGATTTGGACAAGCAAATCATTTTTATTTCTGTCATAATATTGATTCATAGAATGTGGTGTTTCCTCTGGACATATATTTAGATAGATGAAGGTAAAATGATGTTATTATTACTACTTTTTAAGCTCCAGTAGATTCTTGGTTACAACCTTTCATCTGAATAAAAATGCGAATTACCAGCAAATTACTGGCTTATCATGTGACGGATAATATTTTCTCGTTATTCCCTGGGCAGTAGAAATGATGTTGATAAGTTTCTTTTTATAAATTACATGAAGGGCACTTTAATAATATAGTTGTGTTTAACGTTACTAATGTATCAGAAAAGCTAGATAAATGGCTTTTCAAGTTTGATTATATACTAGTCATATGAACTTTAACAAATTATTTATCCTTTCTATGCTTTATCTACATTATAACATAGGTATATATGGATATTATCAACTAACTCACTGGGTTGTTATGAAGGTGATATGATATCATGAGTAAAAGTCCTAGCCAAATCCCTGGCACATAGTATATGCTCAGCCTCTATATCCTCTTTATACTTTTCTTACTGTTTTATGAGAGAAGCTGAGATCTTTGGTTATAAAATCATTTTTTGTTGCCACCAATTTACGTTTGCTGAAGTTTCATTCTCAAATACTGTGGGTAATGTGTCTTTTCCTACTTAATTTTAAATAAAAGAATTTATTAGACAAGCCTCATTCAGGCTGTGTTCTCTGGATGACATCAGAAAATGTAACTCAGTGGTTTTTTTGTTGTACCTAAAAAAGAGGAGAACGAAAGTCAAAGTGTTAAAAAACTTTAGGTTCTTTGGGATGAGTAAGGGAAATGGATCAAACATCCTATCTTTATAGCTAGAAATCTCATTGATATTCTAAAATATGAGCTTAGTAACCTATTTTGATGTTTAATTTGCTTCTTTCTGATATTTTGTTAAAAATAAAATATTTTAAATATTTAACCACTTTATTAATGGTAGATAAGAAATACTAATTAAATAAGATTTTAAAATATTATTGGTACTCTGCTAATTAACATACTATATTTCTACCTCAGATTTACTTAAAAATGTAGTTGAAACTTCTATTTACTCTAAAGTAAACACCATACATTTTTTTGATCTGTGTATAGTTGGTTCTATCAAGCCCTGGATGTTTGATGTTGCTTGAGTCCCAAGAATTCAAGAGTGTTTTTGCTTTCAGTGGTTTGAATATGTCCATAGTTCTGCAGAGGTTATATCTTACTTATGATTTTGGTCTCCTCTTCTGTGCTCCAAGAGGGCATGTGATTATGTCTAGTTTGAAAACAGATTAAAAAGCACAACTGTCCTGGAGTATGCTTAGTTGATGGTATTGTTTTAGTGGAATCAAGAGTCTCAGAGAAATATTAGATTGTGGTGGTACCAAAGTGATATTAGTGAGGCATAGAAGTTTAACTATTTTGGTCATCTCTTGAGAATCAGCTTTTAAGTTTATTTATTTTCTTAACTCCTCCAACTTTTAAATTTAATGCTCATCATTGTTGATTACTTCTTTGGCTCTTTAAGCCCCAGGCCTTTGGTCTTGGTTCTATTAATAGATATGGTTGCCATGAAGGCAGTGTTCTTGGGACTGTTGTACTCAAGATAACTCTATTTTTCCCCATGTTTGCAAGTTCTTGTAGTTGTTTATTATTGTTGTTGCTAATATTACTTAAAAGGAGATTTTCCTTTATTGCAAGATTGTATCAGGATTGTGGTCATTTGTATAGTATTTTTGTCATACACCTTTAAAAATTTTTATCTATTTAGCTTTTTATTTATATGTAGTAAAATTCACTTTTATTGGTGTACAGGTCTATGAGTATTGTTATTTTGGTTTTACCTAAATTTTTTGGTTTCATCTATCTACCATGGACCTGGATTTTACCTTTTCAGAAATTCTAGATGATTTGAACATTTTTTGTTTAATGAACATTTTAAACTGCTGTTGATATGAACACACTTTTTCATTTTTTATAAATAATAAATTAATTGTTTCAATGCAGATTGTGAAATGTTCTTATTTAAAAGAATTAGTGGGGCTGGGTATGGTGGCTCATGCCTGTCATCTTAGCACTTTGGGAGGCTGAGGTGGGAGGATTACTTGAGCCCGGGAGTTTGAGACCAGTCTGGGCAGTAGGGAGCTAGTATTGCCTGCCAGAAGAGTCTTTGCATGAAATTTCAGCTACACTATAAATTAACTCATAATTGGATATTGTGGAGTTGAGAAAAAAATTTATTGAAATTATTATTTCTTTAAAAATGACATAAAGTAACTTGTTAATTTAAAAGATTTTAAATTTTCAAACATTAGAATAATATTAAGAGTAAAAAAGGAATGTATCATCTAAATTTTCAAATGTGACAGATATAAATATGTGTGAAACATATATACCTAAGTGTAAATATGGTTATTATGGCAAAAATATTCAGAGGTTGGAAATAATATCTTTGAAAGAAGTTGAGGAAATTGAGGCAAACATAGATATCAGCTTCTTTGATTAGTACTCAAGAACCATTTCTTGAACATTTTCACTCTGTGACAATTAATGATCATTAATCATCTTTGCTAATGCATTTTCCAGCATAATAGATGGTTCATGAAGGTAAGGTAAATAGGCCAAGAACAGTGAGTCACAATTTGTAGGGAAGGAAAGCCCAAGTGCCTTATAGGGCCAGCAAATATGTGGTGAGGAAGATTTGGAGAGGAAAAATGAGCTAACAGTCACTGAGGAAAGAAATAAGTTCTACTTGGTGATTGAGGATGGAGGATTATAACCTTTTTAGACTAGTACCCACCCTGTCTGTCACTTTAGTTTGGTTTTGGTTATATAATCTTTTGACTATTTCACATTTGTTGATTCTTAAGGATGTTCTTTAGCTTATTACAAATGTAAATGGACTGAACTATAGTGACAACATGAACTCTACTACTAGGAGATTTTAGTTAAGGTTTGATTTTTGGACAAATATTGTTATCTAAATTTTTCTATTTTTGTTTGAGTAAGAAATGTTCATTTGATATTGCATATAATTTACAGTACCAGTTTTTAATTCAATTCCACAAACATTCCAAAAACAGTATTCTATATAGTTTTAAGAACCTCCTACAGAACTGTTTAGAAAAGCTTTTTGTTTTTTGGTAATTAATAAAATGAATTAATGGTGGCTATTTCAGAGTGGTACAGTGGAAAGTTATCTCTGAGGACTATTTTTGAGTACACAACATTTCATCTTAAACTCTTTTTTTACTGCCAACTAATTAAGTCAAAGTTCTGACTTTTATATGAAAATCATCTTTAAAGAATACTATATTTCCTAAAAGATTATAAAAAAATATAACATTTTTAAATCATTAGAGGGAAAGTAATGACAATTGTATTTACTCCTACTCCCATGTTAAATCTATAATGTCAACTGTTGAAATTATATTAATAAATCATTGAACTTGAAATAAAGCTTAATAAAAAAGCGTTTTGATGTAACATTACAATAATGAATTGATTGAACATTTAGTCTTTTCTTTGGTTTTAGGCAACAGTACTTCAAATTAATTGATGAGTGTGTATCCCAGATTGTATTGCATAGAGATGGCATGGATCCAGACTTCACATATCGAAAAAGATTAGATTTAGATTTAACACAATTTATAGGTGAGTATTTCTCTATTATTTAAGTGGAAACATCTATTTACCTCCTACTCTATGGGTTAGATCTAAGATATTGGTTCTCATAGTGTGGTCTGTGGACTCCTGAGGGTTCTAATGATCAAAACTTTTTTCATATAAGTGCTAAGACATTATTTGCCTTGATATTTGCACTGATGGTGCAAAACAATAGAGGATAAAACCTCTGGTACTTGGTTAGGAATCAAGGCACTAAACTATAGTAGTTTAGTTTATCATCATATTCTTTACTCAGTAAAACAAAATGAAAACTGCCATTTTTTACTTAAGAATGTCCTTAATAAAGTCCTAAAATATTAATTTTATTAAATATTGAGCCTTGAGTACACATTGTTTTAATATTTTTAAACAAATGGGATGTATACATACAACACTCCTGCTCATAGCAAAGCAGGATAAGAAAATACTTATGTAATTGAACTGGTTGCCTTTCTCTTTTTTTTAATTTGAAAGACTACAAACTATACACACTTTAAATAAAATGAAGGGAGCCTATAACTTCCAAGAAAATGACTGATAGAATTTGTTACCAACGAGAAAATTTGAGCTCTTATATAAGTGAAAATTTGAATTTTGGGAAATGTTTAGGTGATGCTGTCAGCCTGGCAGCTTCTTAATATTAGAAGAATTTTCTGATGAGGTCAATGGTGATATCAATCTATATGATTATTTTGATATTATATGAAGAGATTTATCAACATTTGGAAGATATGCACAACTTAGCAAATCACTCATTTTCAAGTGACCAGTGCCTGATGTTACAAATTCTGCATAGGCAAAAGATTCATTAAAAGTGGAACATTGATCAATCGATTTTAAAGTAACAGAGTATAAGTTCGGTAATATGATACGTAATTCCACATTGAACTACTGTTTAAGAAGGTACCATTTGTCAAATTTTGATCTAACACCAAAGAAGAATATTCACAATGATCTGAAAACGCTATTAAAATGCACCTCCCTTTTCCACTATATATCTGTGCAAGGTTGTGTTTCTTCTTCCTATGTTGTCTGAATCCAGGAAGAGGAATGAAATATATAGAATAAGTGAAGACTTGGATAATATTAGTCACACTTATAAAGAAAATGCTTGTTTCTCTGTATAGGAGAGAAGCAATTAGAAGTTCCTGAGGAGGTAGGAGGGGGACACAGAAATTAGGAAATGCATGCTCTAAATATGTGGCAAATTAAAATGTGGAATGATTCCCTGAAGATATTCGGAACGTTTTTCTTGAATAACTGAGAGGTTTTATCATTGAACTGTTGAAAAGAAAAGAAAATATTTAAACACTGCTTGCATATATGAGTGATGCATATTTAGATAGTTTTAATAATTATATTTATCGGTTTTTAAATATTTAGAATAAACTTATAGACAAAATACAGAAGACTTAAATACAAAAGAGAATTTTGTTGTAACATGAATAGGTGAGAGAAGACAGAAGGTTGGACAATAGGAGAGAAAGGTGTTAGAAAGCACAGAGCACAGATAATTTGATATATTATAGTGGAAATTTAGATATTATCTATTATAATATTAATCAGAGGGTTAAGTATTTAGTACTAGGGAGCCAGCCAATTTAGTAAATAAAATTATCAAAAATTGGGATTAGAGAGGGAACACTGTCTTCATCTTTTATATTAGGAAGTTATCTATAATTCCTTAAATGTATCAAGAAATAATAGAATGCACATTTATTTATAATTAAGAAGCTAACCACTAGGATAATCTAATACAGAAAGAACTGTAAAAAGTTGCATTTAGGAAGTGAGACAGATTTGGATGCAGTGATTTGATTGACTGTTACTTTTCATTATAAACTCTTCTATGTTTTATTAAACCATGTTCATGTATTGCTTTCATTTACAAAAAAAGAAGAAATAAAATATACTATGGGAAATTTATATGAATCACTTCTCCTTTATCATACTTTGTAATGCGGACATATTACATAACTTATTTAATCAATCCATCATTGATGGTCATTTAAATTATTTACAGGTTTTTTTTTTTTTTGGTTAACGGAAACAATATTTTAACGAGTATTATTCCCTAAAGACAAAGTCCTAGAAATAGACTTGCTGGATGAAAGAAATGCATATGTAAAATTCTAGTATATATTGCGTACTTTTTCATCAGCAACATTCCCAACATTCACTGTTGTGTAGGAGAGTTGGTTTCCCCTAGCCAACTTCAACACTGGGCATTATGGATCATTTAATCTTTGCTATCATTTCTCATTAAAAAAGCTTATTTTCATGTTATTAGGGAAAAGCAAGCATCCATTCATGTTTTAGTGATTTTTAGTTTTGATTTTCCTAATTTTCTGTTCATTACTATTGCCTGTTTCTTTAGCTTGTGTTGGACATTATTTATTCTTTCTTTAAAATATTTATGGGTTGATGATAGAAACCTTTGAATTTGTATGTTACAATTAAACTCTCTCCTCTTGCTTGATATAAGTTTAAAATTGTTATTGAGATTGTCTGTTCTTTATGTTTTTTGGTATTATGTTTAGAAAAGCCTTCTCCAGTCAATCATTATAATATTTTTCTCCATTTTGTTGGTTTTATTACAAATTACTATTACTAAGTACTATTTCTAATTCTTTTCTATGATTTTTTTTCTTTCTAAACTTTTGAAGTCACAGTGAATTTGAAAAGTACTATAGTTAAAATTTTCTGTCATTGCAATTTTAGATTTTTGTATAGATCAAGCAAAACTAGAAGAATTTGAAGAGAAAGCATCAGACCTTGGCAAGAAAGTAAGTAACTTTGATTGACTTTGCAGGACTGTGGGGAACCACTGCAGGCATGTTTCTACCTCAGGGACTTTGCTTATTATTCATTCCTTTCTTCTTTACCTCCTTCGTGTGTATTCACAGCTGCCATCCTCCAAGCAGGACTTTCCAGACCATTGTATTTAAAAATTTTAGTTCCTCATTTCCAACCTTGACCGTCCCTATTTTGCCTCCCTTATTCGTTTTTCTTCCATTATATTTATCATCATCTGATATGCTACATAGTTTATGTATTTATATATGTACATATGAAAGTATTATCTATTTCTTCCTCTAGACTAAATTTTATTAGACATTTTTGTTTTATTCATTATCTCTGGACCAAAAACATTTCTTGGCCCCTGTGTAGGAATTAAAAGAAATATTTTTTGCTTAAGTAAATGAATAGGCGTTTGAGCAAAATGTATGGAATCAAAATTTTAAGATTGGAGTAATTCTCAAGATATCATATAATTTAGTCCCGTAAGCTGAATTCCTATCTTAAAATTTTAAGGGAAAAGTTAATATGCTTTTTGTTTTGATTAAAGTTGCTTCCTTAGATTAAGTTGTACTATAAAAACTGCTATGTTCATAGGTTAAAATATTGGCTATCATAATACCACTTTTATTTGTTTCAAGCTAGTAGTATTTCTAACTATCCTCTACTTTTCTTTAGGAAGCATTTTGTCCTTTTATCTCTGGCTAAGCATGTACCTATTAAACTCGTTCTTTATTTTTTTGTTGGATTCTTCACACTTCAAGTAGTCACTCTAACTTGAATGCTTGAAGCTGTGTTTTCACATTGAAGGAATGATAATTATTACTACTACTGCCACTAGAATGAACCCTTAATGAACATTTGCTAAGTGAATATTTACCGTGTGTTCGTCACCATGCTAAGAAGTACACATTTTTAATGTACAGGTATTAAATGTGTCTTGAGAGAATTACACATTTCTGTAAAGTTTGCAGATAAAACAGGACTTTGAAGATAAAACATGTTAGGAGTAACTTACGGAAAACATTATAAATTTGCTTCGAAGAGGTGCTAAGGCATTGAGTTTATCTAACACTAATTGAGAGCTTATTGTATCCCAGGCCTTAGGTTTTAGGCTAGGATTATAGCTGTGAATATTATATTGTCATTGCCCTCAAGTCTTTTGGTTTAGTCGGGGAAACAAATTAATAGATGTTTTAAATTGTGTCATTAAGTGTTAGTTAATAGATGTTCATGTTGTACGGTGACTCCTCACTCAACCAACTTTGTATTTTTTTTTTATTAACTTTTTTTTAATTTCAGCATATTAAACTCAGTAATAAGTGCTTTCGCTCTTTATAGGAAAATAGTAGTAAACCCTCAAGTACTTGATTTGGGCACATCTCAGATAGTATAAACTTGCTTTTGTTATCATTTTTATGTGCATATTAGTAGTATATAATGGAGTAAAACATACTAACTTTTCAACAGATTTTTTTTTTTAAATTGTAAGCTTTAAATGTAAATAGAAGAAAGACTTTGTTCAAGGTTAGTTGTCTCCTTTTAGTCAGAAATTATACATCTTAGGTGTATTCAGAAAATATTATTTGTTCCATAAAAGATTTCTATTGCCATACCATTTTGTATATATCAGCAAAAACTTTGTTCTGATAGCTTTATAAGGACACATGTAAATACTTTGCTTTAGGCAGAAAGCTATCATGGTTGCTAGACACATTCTTTATTTTGGTGCATAAATTTGAAAAATGAAGACCAGAAATGTCAGAAAGTATATAGAGAATATTGAATTATCAACCTTCTTGTACAGATGCACTAATACATTTACCCTTGGGAATGAAATTAAGCAGCGCCTCAACCTTAACTGTGTTTTTTGACATTTTTGCATGTAATTTTGTGAGTATAATATTGCTCTAGTAACTCTTTTCAGAGAAGAAGGCTATCATATCAGTTTTTATATGGTATGCTTTTAATGGAGATTCATTTTATCCCCAAGGCTACAGTAATTTGACTATAGATATTATAAAAATGCTAAAGCAAAGTTTGTATTTCATCTGATCCTTTTATGGGAAGGACGTGGAAATTTTTCTTTTGGTAAGTAATACAGATACTTTCAGTATGGCCAAGTTAATTTAATAAATTTTCTTAGAGTATACTAATTATGACTCTGTTTATTTTGATAGTTTTTATCTTTGGTCTCCTAAGTCATCTTTTTTCCTTCTGAATTTTAGTCTAGCATCTATAAGATAGGACAGACATATCCTATTGCACATATTGATATTGTGGAAAGTCTTCTTCATTCTTACTCTCATAAGAAAAGTTTAATTTTTTAATTTCTTGCTACATAGAGGCGAACTTTGTCTTAGTTGCAAAAAAGGGAAAAGAGAAAATGACCTCTTAAAGATTTTTGATGTTGGGAGAGTAGGTAACTTTGATATATGATATGAACATAGTCATTCAACATATAAAGGAAAATTTGACAGGAGTTGGCTCATCACTTTAACAAATATTTATTGACTTTAATTATAAATATAAAGCATCAGAAAGGTGATGAATAAAATAGAAAAGTTTCTCACTTTTAAGAGCTTTCATGTTGGTGAGTATTAATGAGGTGTGTGATACCACATTTTGATATTTTTATATCACAGTGTGATAATTGCTATGGTAGAAAAATAGTATATGGAGTGCAAGCCTGGAGGAAGGATTTCTCATCTAGTCTTGGGTAGCCAGGGAAGACTTACCCAAGAAAGGGATATCTAATATGAGCACTGAAGGATCAGTATGAGGCAGCAACATGAGATATCCAAGGAAGAGGCATATATAAATTTCTTTTGAATTTGCTAAACATATCTCACGCTTAACATATCCAAACCAAATTCATCTTTCTTCTCCCTAAAAATACCTTTTCTTTCTGCATTTTATACCCTCATTTTTTTTTTTCCAAATGACAACACTTCTTTTCCACGTGTTTTGCAAAACCACAAAACACTGTACTCACCTTAGGCATATTCTTCTCAGTCATCTCTATCATTCAGTCAGATACTAACTTTTTTGATTCTGTAGTCTCATTTCATTTCTTTTCCATTACCCTCTCCTCCACCTTACTTCAGGCAGACCCTCAGTTCTTGCTGGGATAATTGCAGTAGCTTCCAAACTAATTTCCATGCCTCTGGTATTTCTCTTTCACTCCATCTTCCACATTGCCGTTGATTTGGTTTTTCAAAGTGCATATTTGATTGTTATTTTCTTATAATACATACACTAATAGCTTTCCATGGTATTTAGGAAAAAAGGAATAAATGTTTGGCTTATTTCAAAATTCCTTTCAACAATTTTATTTCTGTGTATATCTCTAGCTTCATCTCCTGCTGTTTGTTCTCATACCTCTTCTTGTGCCTCTTACAAACTATTGTTTGCCTTTCGTCTACACACTGGGCTCTTCCCTCTGCATAAAATGCTAGTATGTTCTACAAACCTGAGGTCAAACATCATTCACCCAGGAATTATTCCCTGACTTTCAGTCACTCTTTTTATTACTGGTAGTTTTCATGGATTTAGGGATGTTAGTTTGCTTTTACTTGTCCACCAGACAACTGTGCTTACTAAAAGTGCTGACCATATTCTGTTCCATTCTGTCTCCAGAGCCTGCTACTCTGAAGGACATATCTCAGGCATGCTGTTAAATATTTATTATATTAATATAATGAGAAATAAGTAGGTTGGGAGCAAATCCCAGAGGGATCTTACCTAGTAACCACGTCGGTACCGCTCTCATTGATCACAAAACCTTGCCCACAGCCAGCACTCATAGTCCGCATGGTAGTTTGTGCTGTGCATTGACTACGAATCCGTTTTGCTCTTGTGTGATGAGGAAAAGTTTAAAGCACTGAAAGCTTGTTTTACTTTACAGGCAACTTTACTTGTAATGTAAATCAGAATAGTTAACAGATACATATGTGTTTTTATTATGTTATTTTTAAGTGTTCACAATTTTATTTTGATAAATGGAAAATTAGAAAAGTCACATCACGGCTGTCGGCTAAAGTCGCTGTGCATGTTCATCTGTGGCTATCAACTATAGTCAACACTGATACCGAAGTGGTTAAGTTAATGATTATAATGAAGCACTGAAAGTTTAAGAGCAAAAGAATCATTATTTGAGCTGTTCTTTACAAAGAATAGCAGTATTTAAAAAATGAGGTTTGTGGCGGCGGAGGGGCTGTATAAGCTCAGTTTTGAAAATGATGTTTTTTTCTGTGTCTTAAAAAATTTTCATTAATGGTTGAAAATCTGTTTAGGGATTGGTTCATAGTCTGGAATTAAGAGTTCTCCTCTATGGTTAGAGGCTTTATAAGGAATAAGATGAGGGACAGAGGTGCAGAGGGGTTAACTATGTAACAGATGTGTGAAGGCGATAAGGCCTCAGGGAGGCACACGGTAACAGGGAGTTGGGTGGACCTCTGAGACCTACATACATATGGTTTGATTTATAGTTTAGTTATTTGATTAGATTCAGCATTAGTATCTTTTAAATTATTTAATGGTAGGAGAAGGGTTATGGAGGAGCTGTAGGAGTGGTGGGAATGTGTGGTTTAGGTGAGGTGGAAGGACATTTGGATAGTTTTTAACCTATTTTTGTTATCTTTATAAAAAAGGAACACAAGGTTGAGAGTGAGAGGATTAGTAGTCTGAAATTTATTTACCTTACCTGTAATACAGGAATTCGTTTTATAAAATTACTTTATAGAGGTTTTGTAATTAAATTTAAAAATTCTTCTTTTTGTGCTTTTTCTTTAGATAGTTATAAAGCAGGTGAAAGACTACCCATGTGTGCAGGAAGGGGCTTTATGGAAAACCTGTACTTTTGCTCAGTTTGGCTGTGAACGTAAAACTACTCTAAAAAATAGTTCATGAAATAAAACTGTAAAGCATTGTCTAAACATTAATTGTAGGGAGGTGGTGTGGTTTTATCCAAGTAACTCAGACTTTGAAGGCAGAAAATCTGGTTATTAACTTCATATGTTTCACCAACTGAAGAAGGACTAACACTCTCTGTGTTGTTAAGGACAAACTAAGAATCCCTTTATAAACTAAAAATAAAAGCCCTTGTAAACTGTTGAGTTCTATACTGTTATATTCCTAATTATGGTTTGATTGTATTAAAACCTGGAGGCTACCTTTGTGAAATAGTTACTTTTTTTTAATGATTGATTTTTTTTTTTCATTTTTTTAAGTGAGTCAAATACTTGTTCTTGAAGATGAGACAATACTCTACATTAGCTTCTACTAGGAGAGGTTTTTCAGTCATGATAATGGCAATGTGAAGCTATTTGAATACAAGATGGGAACTTATAAAGAGTGGCAGTATAAATTAGAAAACTCATTGGATTCACCAAAATTTATTGTTTGCCTTCTTCCCAGAAGGAATTTCACTAGGGACTTTGAAAGATTAATTTACTATTACTTTTCCAAAGATATTAGAAGATGTTGTGTTGTTATAAGAAAAAAAAAATAATCGAACAGAACGGAATTGTTTATTAATAAAAAATACTAAAATGGAATACTTTAAAATCATGTAGATAAACTTCAGATAAGTTTAAAGTAAAAATTTTTCTGTTGGGGGCACAAGGAATTAAGTACAATGCTTTGCTCTCTATTATTTTATACAAAGTTGCAATGATATTTTGAGACTTTTAAGAAAAATGCCAGGATTGCAGATAACTATGGGCCAGTTTCCACTGCTGAGAGAAGGTCACAGACTTCATCTCTGTCTTTGTCTGCTTCCTTGCGAATGAATGATTTTGGTGGGACCTGGAGGGACCTAGAGAAAGGCTGCAGGTGACTTAGCAAAAATCTACCACTCCTTTCATGAAACCAATTCAGAAATTTACGTTCTACTGACAGATCATTAGAGTTATGTTTCTATATGAAGAATAGTGCTTTTCTTTTCCATCTTTCTCTCTCATTTTTTTTTTCTTTTCAGTTTGAAAAAGAGTTTACTGACCACCAAGAAACTCAGGCTCAATTGCAGAAAAAAGAGGCAAAGATTAATGAGCTTCAAGCAGAGTTACAAGCTTTTAAATCTCAGGTAAAATACCATCCTATGTGAACTGGATATTGGAACCACACTGAGAGAGCAAAGGTTATGTTATATCTTCATAGCATCAGAATGTTTAAACTTTAATTTCATTTGTAGGTTTTCATAATATTGTTTGTATGATTTCTGGTCTGCTCTGTTTATTTATTTTTTTAATTTACTTTTTGCTTTTTTCCTATTTGTATGAATATCTAAGATTTTACTAATTAATCTCCTTCCTTATGTTTTGTTTGGGTTTTGTTCCTAATGTCTCCTGTTTCCTAAGTAATTACGCATAAAGGGTAAGAAAGTCTTTTAAATTTGCCATTCATCACTGATCTTTATCCTACTACAGGAAATTATTGCTCAAGCTATTTATTTTTCAAAACCTTCAGTCTATGGGTACCGTGCAGTAAAAGATAACCTCTAGCTGAATGAGAACATTTTCTGATAATTTTTCAATTTCCAAAAGTAAACAGATTTAAAACATGACAAAAAAAGAGAGTAAATCTGGATTATGAAGCAGATAGCTCACATACACCCTCTACACATAAAACATTTAGATAGCAAGAAATACATCATCTGCATGCTTTATGTGGATGTAAGTAAGGAGGTAGCATATTCATAGCTAAATTTCTTCATGTAGATTTACATACAGGATGATGAGCAATAAGTACAGTTTTGCTGTTTTTCTTTCATCTTAATTTATGCTTATGTTGAAATAGTCTCAGGTATACTGTATCCTATATTATTGGTAATTTTTTTTTTTTTTTAATGCTTAGTGGGTAGTTTTGTTGCAGAGGCTGTCTGAAGATACCTTAAGAGATAGCTATCTGTTAAGTTTCAATTTTAGAAAATCTATTCACAAGAAAATTATTCTCATTGATCTTCTTTCTTTAGTGCTGCAAGAAGGAAGTAGCACATTTTTTTGAAGTCATTCATTTTCCCCATATGGCTTCTTGTCTGTCACATTAAAAGAAACATTTGATTGTATATTTACTTCAGATTGAGTTATAGACAATGGCTGAAATATTTATGGCAAGTTTTTCCTGGTTTGGGCTAATATAAATTTAAGAACTTCTTTTTCTTTTTAATTTTTCCCAGTTGAAGGATTACTTGTAAATCTATTTTAGAAAATTTCAATTTATAAAAAATATATCCACCATCTTTGGATAAGTTATTGCATGGTGCGTTTGTATAAAATGGTTATAAATTTATGTTTTGAAACTGAAATTAAATCAAATCTCCTAAATTGTTTTAAATTGTGCACAAGGATGACCTATGTTTATGGCTATCAGAGGAAAGCCTAGGATTAAATACCCTATTCATTTTTGAGAAACAAGTGGCAAAGTCTTTCTCTGGATTTTAGTTTATTTTTCATGATATCTGTGCATTTATCTTAAGATCATAACACTGTTCTGTCTGTGAAGATTAGAAATAAAATATTTCTATTTTTTGTGTGTGATTTTATTCTTTTGTTCCTCCAGTCTTTTAACAACCAAGTACTGTTAGGTGCTGGGGATGTAATGCTGAGCAACATAGTCACTATGTCTGTCCTTCTGAAGCATATATTCAAGTCAATCATTCCTATTTTATCAAATGAGCTATTTTAGAGGAGAAATTCAACCATCTTTATTTTAAGACATAGTTAGCTGTAAAGTATATAGGAGTTAAGTATAATATACATATATTCTTAACATTTAAAGTGAAGTACCATGTTTGATCACAGCAATCCAGGTTAACACTGACCTGGTTCTTGTTTACACTTAATATTTTTGATAAGGTATGCTCTTTGATTTTTGGTCTCAAGTTCTCTTACAACGTTGTTTTTCTTTGTGGTGATTTCAGATTTCATTGGCCTAGGCTTTTATACATGGTCTACGTTTCATAATTGAGTCATAAAACTTTTGAAATGATTTTTTAACATTTATTAAAAGCCCATTTGAAAGGTAGTTTATATATAACTTAGAATTAAGTTAGTAATTTTGGGACTCTTATCATATTACAGAAAATTAACATAGAAGATCTTCTTCATATTTGAAATGTATCAAATTCTTACCATGCCATAAGAACATAAGGACAAAAGTGACCAGCAGACACAGCTGGTTCTTTTTCACTCCTGATATTACCTGGTTTCTCTGTGGCTTTTGACTCCATAGAACAGACTTTTTTGGGGGTGAGGCACTCTCTTCACTTGTGGTTTATGACTCTGTTCTTGTCTTTGTCTCCTCCTGTCCTTAATTTATTTATCCTATTCATTTCTTTAATAGTGGTCATATGCCAGTCCCTGCTTTAAGTACTGGGGAAAGAGGGAATAATACAGCATAGTCACTTCCCTCATTGAGCTTACAATCTATCAAAGAGATAAATGTTAATGATTCATTAAATAATTATTTCACACTTTTGATAAGAGCTGTTGAGAAGTACAGAGTGCTATGAGTATAAAATGAGTGGGCAGATAAGGCTTTCCTGAGGAAGGAACGTGTTGGCTCAGTCTGGAAGGGCCATTAGGAGCTAGCCAAGTGAAGGGAATGTTCTAGGCAGAGGGAACAGCATGTACAAGGGCCCTGAGCAAAGCATGATGTTGGCACATACATGGAATTAGGAGAAAGTCACTTGAGAGGCCAGTTGGCAGGGACCAGATCATGACATACTTTGTAGGCCTTACTAAGAATTTTAGATTTCGTTTTTCCTCAAGTGCATTAGGTTACCATTGAGAAGACTTTAGCAAAAGCATGATGTGCAACACTATTTAAGTCCTTTTTAGGGGATCTTATTTATTTACATTATCACCTAAATTTGTGTTCCATATAAATTCTGTACATAGACCTTTTCCCATGCTACATATTCTCTATATACTATACTGTGAGTAAACTTATCCACTTCCGTGGCTTCAACTATAACCTACAGATTGCTGATTTTCAAAGCTTCCAGATCTATATACTCATTTCCCTTCTGGATATCGCTACCTAGGTGGTCATAACTGCCTCAGAATGGGGAATTATACTTCTGGCAGTTACATTTTTATGAGAAAAAAAGCCATAATTATTAAATTGGAAGAAAAAATTCTTGTAATTTTCTTTTTAGGTTAAACCATCTGAAATTAATGATGTTCAACTATTTTTGGTTTAAAATAATAACTTATTTTTGTATATACTTTTACATGCTTTGTAAACTTTTTCTTAATTATGTTCCTTATTATGTTTTCCTCTAGTTTGGTGACTTGCCAGCTGATAGGAATATTCCTTTGCTCCTGTCAAAAGAAGATGGAACTGGCCACCCAGGACTTCCTCCTCCCCCTCCACTGCCCTCTTGTGGAGGGGTGCCGCCTCCTCCCCCTCCCCCTCCTCCACTTCCAGGAATGCCTATGCCATTTAGTGGTCCTGTGCCTCCACCACCTCCCCTGGGATTTCTTGGTGGAGGAAACTTTCCTCCTCCACCAACTCTGCCATTTGGGTTGAAACCCAAGAAAGAATTTAAACCTGAAATCAGCATGAGAAGATTGAATTGGTTAAAGGTAAAACAAATTAGTGGAAGAAACATAATTTTACCTAGATTAAAATTTAATTTTGGATTTTTATATATATATATAAAATTTCCAATGGGAACCCTAATCAAAGTGACAATAAATAAAATGGCACCTTTTTTTAAGGTATTGAGACAGAGTCCTTTGATATTGACTAAGACTTTCTGGTTTGTAAGTTTGGTCAGAGTTGATGTTGTTCTGGTGGAATTTGATTTTAATTAAATTGATAATTTAACATTATTGCATTGAGCCTTGTGTCTATGAAATATTTCTTGGAAACAAAAATGTTAATGTTCTTAGGAACTTTTCTCTGTTAGTAGCTATTGGAAAAGCTGTTAGAAAAGTGTTACTCTGTTGGAAAAGTGTTACTATTTGCCAGAATCTTATATTTAGTCAGGTCATAGGAATTCTGAATCCTGCAGAAAGATGGTCACATAAACTTGGGAAATGCTGTGTAGTGTATACTGCCTTCAAGAGTCATAGTGCCAGGTGAGCATTATTGACAACTGAGAAATGCAACTGAGTAGAAACTAATTTCATTCAGCTTCAGACTTTTTCTTCTTAATAAGATGTTAACATCCTGCAGAACTTGTATTTCATTGAACATACTTTAGGGAAAAATCTTACAGAGATTAATTCATAAACATCTGCAGGCAGCTGTGGGATGCTGGGTCTGTACATAGTGATTGGGCTGGGATAGGCAAAGCACCCAGCTATTTATGAATCAGCCTTCTCTCTGATTGTAGATCAGACCTGATGAAATGACAGAAAACTGTTTCTGGATAAAAGTCAATGAAAACAAGTATGAAAATATGGATTTGCTTTGTAAACTTGAGAATACATTCTGTTGCCAACAAAAAGGTAAGTCCAATGTTTTGGTTATTTAGTAATTAAATTTTACAGGTTTAAGATTGACACTTTTCGCGTACCAATCTCTAGAAAACATTAAGGATCTTATACATGATGATTTTACATTACTAGTGGGTAAATAAATGACCTAATGAAATGAAATGCTTAAAAAGTGAATTTTGTTATACAGTATATCAAGTAAACAAGTTTTGAAGTGTAAATGATTAATACAAAACTTTGATTGTTAAATTTTCTATATAATGCTTTCTTTGAAGATATTCCATTGGGATAAATTCGACTTTTGTAAAGGAGAATATTTTCAGAGATGTTGTTGGCATGAGAATTCTCTTTAGTTAGAGAAATAGAAAACCAAAATGTGCGCTTTCTTCTAGTCAGAGTTTTATCACTTTTTAGTATTACAATGACTGTCACATAATTTAATTAATTGGTATGAGTCATATGGGATAGAAATATCCAATTTATAGTGTCTTGAAAGTTAGCATGAAAGAGAAAAATATTTGAGTAGATTATTTGATCTTTTCATTAAAAGCAATGACATTCATTTTTCAAATTGTTTTGTGATAGCTTTTACCTGTGCAGTGTGATTTAAAAAATTATAATATTTAGGTATTCCTTGTATGTGAAAATTGAATTTATCCAATCTCATGGGCCTGCTACTTACATTTCAAGGCTGATAGCCATATATATTAAGTGAATTTTTAAGTATTATTGAAAACTTGTATTTTAGGTCTGTAGCACAAGCACTTAGATCAATCATTACCTTTTAGTTTTCAAAAAAGAACTTTTTCCACTGTAGACCTATGCCACCACCTATGCGCCTGGGCTCATAGAACACAGGGAGAGCTGGCAGGATGAGATTGTACTGAATGGATGCAGGTAGGAGGCCTTGGTATAGAAAGGGAAGAATTGACTTCTTAAAATGCCTGCTGTTTGCTAGGTACCGTGCTAGATACTTTATATATCTGATTTAACTTGATCATCATAGCAACCAAAGAATGTTGGCGGATACTTTAAAAAAAATTTATTTGTATTCTTTTGCAATGCTTTCCAAAAAATATTGTAAATTAGAAACTCTTTTTAAAAGGTAATTGTAAATTAGTGTAGTTTTTTAGAATTTGGTAAATTAAAGTCTTTAGCATGTATTGTTGAGTACCATTTATCGTGACTAAAATATTAAAAATGGTATACTTTGATCTTTGAAAACCGAATTTTCTCACCAAGCTCAGCCTAGGTAAACTTGTAAAGCAAGCAGATCTTAATTTTACCTTTTGATTATGGAGAATCAAAATTTTTTTTGAATAAGATTAGTGCACTCTTCTGGCAATCAAGGAAAATATATGGCAGTTAAAACGTGTATTTACATGTAAAACACTTCAGAATTTCAGATTTCATTATCTGGAATTGATTAGTTTTGCCTTTGCTTTTCTAGTAGTTACAAATGGTGGTACCTAAAAGCTATTTAAGTAATGTCTGCCACCCAGTTACTCTTTTTTTCCCCCTCTCTACTCTGATTACTTTCTTAATTAATGAGGCTCAAAAGGGAAACTTGTTAGCATGTCTTTAATTTAGCTGTAGTGTTAGCCCTAAATGAAATAATTGGACCTTTAAAAAATTCTTAAGTCATCTAACTTTAGCCTTGAGATTCAAGGTTGGAAAAAATGATGTATTTGCTCAATCTACTATGAGTTATAAAGGTTAAGGTAAGAATTGATGATCATTTTCTGAATATTCCACATTTCTGTTCCTCTCTGCCTTTGTACATGCTGGCCTCTTGGCCTAGAATCTCTTTCACTTGACTTAGAAAGTGAAAGTTAGAGGCTGGCAGAGAACTAGGACATCTTCTTTCTCAGCTCAAATGCTGCTTTCTTTGTTCTGTCACAGTGGATGACATTTCCAGGGTGAACACAAACGATGGGGAAGCCCAGAGTTGTGACCCTGAGCAATGCTAACATTTCTCAATGTTAACCAGAGGTGAGCTATGAAGGTGACAGATTTTTGGTCTTCAGTTTAAAGAATAATTACTAGAAAGCATTTTTTGAGGATTCCTAAGTGTGCTTTTTGGCATTACTAGTAAAGTATTTTGTTGAAAAAGGCCAGTCATTGCTGCATTCAAAAAAAAAAAAAAATATATATATATGTGTGTGTATATATATATGTATATATATATATATATCAGATGAGAAGAAAGGAAGGAAAAAGAAAGATGTCTCTAAAACTTAGAACAAAACTGGTGGGTGGAGCGTACAGGTTGCTCCATGTTGTGTCTTTATTCATGGCCAGGCTGCTGAGACATTATCATTTGCCTGTCCTCCATTACTCCAATGTACTTTGTTTGAATCAATTTTGTAATTTCTGCATCATTCAAAATGAAACCTGGTCACTTATACATTGTTGAGTCCAAAGGGAAAATGTTTTTGCCTCTCTACCCCTTAGCAAGTGGGGGGAGATTTCCTCTTAACTTCAGTTGCCCCCTTTATTATATTCCTTTTTCTTTTCCAGTTAGATCTTACATGTTTTTTTAAACTAATCTCCCCCCTGTGACCATTTATAACGATGCTTCTGTGGGAAAAGTGCCTTGTCTTTATCTTAAGAAGTATAGGAATCCTCTCTAAGTGTTTTCCCATGAAATCAGCAATTTTTTCCTGAGTCACTTATATCATTTTTTCTTTTATACCATATTTTCCTGTTATTTATCCCACTTGGGTTTTCTTGTTTCTCTCTCTGTCCTAAGTTTTTAAGATACATCTTAGCTTTCCATATTTTTTTAATTCTTCTGAAAATATATACGGGAATTTTTTCAGATTATCTTTTTGTTTTCTTTTTCTCATACTTCCACTTTGATTCCACCTACTTTTTCTTTTTCCATTTGGTCATTGCAATTGTAAACCAGCAAGTATATGGGGTACATATTGCATGTTGGCTGTTGTGTTTGATATTGAGGGTACAAGAGTGAATAAGGCAGACATGCTTCCTATACTAGTGTTGTTTTTGCATTCTTAAGGAAACTAATTCAAGTTCTTATATGAAACATAAGAATGAAGAATGGAACAACAAATGCTGATTTAGATTTTAGAAAAGACTGCCATATTTTACTATTTGGCTTCTGTTAAGAATTAACAAGGTTATAAAAGAACATTGTTTATATATCTCTCTAAAATTTAATCATAATATTCATATATTGAACATTTGGTATCATCAAAATAATGTTAATGACCTGCATATTTTTTACCAGATTGGAAGCATCTGTTGGTTAATTTTTACAGGCTGTTGGAAAATGGATTAATGTATGCTAACAGGTTATTGGTGTTGGATTTGTCAACTAAAATTAATATTAATTATCTTCATTATTCACAAACTGTTAACTTAATAGGGATTAAAGGGCTTTTTGAAAGTATGTGAATATCTAATTCATTTAGACTGATGTATTATGAAAATATAATTCTGCAATTGTTAGCTTTCTGAAGTAATCACATTTTATAACAGGTGCATCATATTTGCCAGATATAGCCAATAAACTGGTTTATAAATTATTTCTCAACTGAATAGTTATGGCATATAGAAATAGTTAATAGATTACGCACTTAAAAACAAGTCAAGCTTAGGTTTCTAACATCGTAGTTCAATGGACAAAATATTGGGTGTTGAATGATAAACTATGGATTATCCCCACAACTTGGCTGTATTCAAGATGTTGCCTTGTATATAAACTTAATTTATTCCTCTGTATGAGCAAAAGTGAATACAAAGTCCTAAACTACCTCACAAGTCTACATTAACATGAACAATATAATTTATAATATAAAAATATTTTGGGGGAGGAATGCATGCCAATAAAGAAGTGATGCCAAAATGAATTCAACCTTTCTGAAAAGGATATATGACAAATACTAATTTGGAAAGATTGGAGAGGAAATCAGTGGAGAATGAAATAATTTCTCTAGGGAAGTATCATTTGGTTCTTGTCTGTGGCTGAATCTCAAAAGAACTGAAGACTTTAGGAAATTATGAGATGGGTCAGGAGTATCTTATTTCCCCATTAAAAAGTATCTCATTGTTACCAATTGTACATATTCTTTGTTGGGCTGCTGAGAAGTAGAAATTTATTCTGAAAACTTTAGAGAAATAGAACCTAAAGAAGAGAGGCTAAAGAAAGTGGATTTATTTGGCCTGGAGCCACAGAAGACTTTCAAGTCCACAGAATGCTTTGGTTATATGCTTAGTGATAGAGCATATCTTTGGTATAGTGTGACAGAATAAAGTCCCTGTACATAGACATATTTCTTGTATACTGTACAGATGCTACAGCCAGAAAGAGAGTTAGGGTATGAGTGTAGTGGGGTGTGTGTGTGCATAAACATAGCCTTTTCTATTTTTTACCTTTCTCTCTTTCCTTCTTCCATTGGAGAAAAGAAATGGATTTATAATAAGTGGAGTTTCTTGACTAGTGGTATATTTGGAGGATGCAGTCTCTCTTCCATATTATAATTTCACCTTGATATTTTAATTCTGGTGGGAGTTTTCAGTAACGATACCCTGTAGCTATCACCTATTAACAAAAATTTAAAGTTGTTGTATCCTACTGTTGTTATCTCACACCTTTTCTGTAAGGATTTCTCTTCTATTTCCCCTATCTTCTGCCTTATTCCTTATTTAACCAGGGCAACTTTTGTCCTCTGATTGCTTCAAGTACACTTCCTTATTTTGGGCACCTAGTCTTGTCTGCATCATGTTCTATCACTCAGGACTTCCATAGCCAGTGAGTACACATTATTATTCATTTGAAAATATAAATGAAGCTCATCCTTCTGAATGCATCATTTTAATCTTAAAATGCTATTTTGTAAATCTGGCTGCTCACTTACACCCTTGCTCTCTCTCCCCTATTTCCTACACACACACTATTTGCCTGAAGAGGTAGAATCAGGTGGAGTTACCATTGTAACCTGATACCATCCTGGGGCACAGGAAAAGGGTAGGGTCAAAGTAGGAGA